AGGAAATAGAGACCTCTGGACTAAGCAATAGAGCTGATTTCTGTTGAGTGGGTAGTGAGGGCTATCACATTTTAACTAAAGGAAAGTCACTTTGAGAGTCATATTGGAGTAATGAAGGATGGTTCCAGAGTAGGAGACTTTTGCCCTCAGATTCCCCTGTTATTTCACTTGTATTTATCAGACTATGCTGGAGAAATAGGTGTGGTCCCCACAGAAGACATCCTCAGATCTTTCTCTGAGAATTAATGGGGTGAAGATCTTTCATCTCATCTTAATATTTCCTTACATCCATGTACACACTGGGATCTGTGGAAAATTCCTTGGGAATCTGGGAAATGGAAGTGGCCAGTTGTTGTTTGAAGATCATTGGCTCAAATTCTAAATATTCCACCTCCTGCACTTCTTGTCTTTCAGGGTCCTAAAAAGAGGTAAATGTTAAGTGATGCTGTATGCACACAGAGAATGGAATGTTAGACTGTATTGAAGAGAAGACTCAAGAGGACCTACCTGTCTATTCAGTATTGTTCTCATTTCAGACTCTTCATTCAAGTTTGCTGCATTTTTAGAGGACAGAAGTAATCAAACACACATAATAAAGTACTTCCACACTATAATTTCAAATTCATAGTTACTGCTGTTTCAGGAGGGGTCAGCCTCCAGCAGCACAGGGCTCTGATAGGAATCCATGGAGTTGGTGAGGCTAAACTTTTCTATCTGAGGTGGGTTAGGGAAGAAGGCACTCACAAACTCTCTTGATGATTTCCTTCTGGATTCTCTCTCTCTTTATTCTCCTTTTTTATTCTCTCATCATTTTTTCTCTCTCTCTTCTCTCATGTTGTTTAACAGCTTTTATATTTCAACAGATTCTTCAAGGCATTACAAGAGTCAAAACAGTTGCCTTCCATTTCTCAAGTAAATGGCTATAGGTAAAAACATGTGCCTCATATGACTAAACATTTTATGTATTACAGGTGAAAAAAAGTTATCCCAAGAATCCACATACACTCATACCCAAGAAACTTGTTATAGATTAATGGTATGGACAAGCAAGGTGTTTTTGTCAGGTATTATCCTGGCAGGCTGCATTTTGTTGTTACAAAGAAAGGACCAATTACTCTATTACTTTTCTTGAAAAAGTCATATACGGAATCTTAAAGGAATCACAAAACTAAAACAATCAGTCACTTCTACTTTTAATCTTTAGGGTACACAGCTATTTTATTAATACTTTTTTATATCAGGAGATTGAGGGCAAAAATGAATATAAAGAATGAATCATTACCTTTGCTCATCAGCCAAACATAGCAAAGAGCACTTCAGCCAGTAATAATTGGTCTGCTTTGTTCTTGTTCTCTGAACTTAGAGTTCTTCATTCAACTATGTGCCTTCCTAAAACTTTAGATGGTCTTCTTGGGTTTTTCACCTCAACATTATTTAACAAACACTTCTTAGTCTAACTAAGTTTTATTTATACTGTGAAGCTCTCTGAGATCTGTGAACACATCTCCCAACAGTAAGATTAAAAAAATAAGGTAACTGGGCTATTAGGACTCAACTGTTAGTCATTAACTTGAGCTACAATCCATGCAGTTCCTTAAGTGAGATTCACAGAACCTGACTATGAAACATGTCCTTGCATTTATTTTTCATCAAAACTCTGTATAAGTTATCATTATTATTATTATCAAATTAGACAGTACAGCTTAGGGAGGGGAGATTTGACAATTCACAGGTGAAAATGCCCAGCAGAATGGGATGTTTCTAAGAGATAAAGACACTATGATACAGGCAGTGGAGATCTCCCCCTGTCCACTCACACTATGTGAGATACCAGAGAAAGAGCGACAGCAAACATGTAAAGGCCCAGCAGAAGCAAAAGACATTCTGGTGTCTATAGTTTGGTGGCCTTGCCTAAATGAGATTGGCTCATAAGAGGATTGCCTTCTGGTGGGCTAACACCTGGAACTTTAATTGCAACTTGCAGCTCTTCTATTAAGGACAATGGTACAATGTACTACTGAGAGATATGGCAAAATCAAAGGTTGCTCACCTATGGCAGTTTGGAATCAGATGTGCTGATTTTCTATGTTCACATTTCTGTCCTACTCAGGCTGAACCCTAGTAATTCTTTTTTAGAATAGGCTTTATCTTCTCTCCCCAATCTTGTAAAATCTTTTTCTAGAAATTAGTGTTTGCTTTGGATGTGAAGATGCAGAGATGCTGTGAGAAATTAGTCAATAGTCTGAAAACTGAGTTCCTCTCTCCAAAGTCCTTCCCACAAGATATGTGCACAACTATGTTCATAGCAGCATTGTTTGTCATAGGCAGAACCTGGAAATAACCTAAATGCCCTTAGACTGAAGAACTGATAAGAAAAATGTGGTACATTTGCACAGTGGAGTACTACAGAGAGGAGAAAAATAGTGACATCTTGAAATTTGCAGGCAAATGGATGGATCTAGAAAACATCATATTGAGTGAGGTAACCCAGACCAGAAAGACAAATATCATATGTACTCACTCTTAAGTGTTTTTAGACAGAAAGCAAAGAAAACCAGCCTACAATTCATAGAGAACCTAGAAACAACAAGTACCCTAACAGAGACATACATGGATCTAATCTCCATGGGAAATAGAAAAAGATAAGATGACCTGAATAAATTACGAGCATGGGGACCGTGAAAGAGGGTTTAAGGGGAGGGGAGAGGCAGAGAGGGGAGCAGAGAAAAATGTATAGCTCAATAAATCAATAAAAAGTGTAAAAATCTGAAAGTCCTTCCTCAGTTTTCCTGTAATGGTCCAAGCATCCTTTTGTAAATGTAGAAGACATACCTGTATTTCTTTGGTTTTGTTTTCTCACACTACTCAGATGACACTCATTGGCTTTGTTTTGAGACTTACTCCTTTTGGTAGAACAACAAGAATAGAGGAGGATGACAGAGAAGACAAGGATCATGGTCACTGATAGCCCAATCAACATATGTTTGATCCTGTGATTATCTGGAGGGAGACATGAACCCCCATAAGAGGTAAATCTTAGGATACACATTTTTATAGATTTCATAATACTTAATGATAGAAGATAATTATTATAATATTTCTTTATGATAGTCTTGATGTAGAACCTACTAGTAATATTCTACTAAATGAAAATAGTATTAAACTGACTCCTAAAGACTTATTGTTATACATAATGCATTTCTCAACTATCAACAGTGGAGTTTATATTTGTGATAGATAGTGATTAATTTAGATACCCACAACTGGGAAAATTGTGGTGATTAAGAGACTATAGAATACTTGGCCCTAAATGAGATGTTTACATCTCATATTCTTCTCCAAATGTTCAGCATCATTGTAAAAGAAATTAAAGAAGAGATTGCAAAAAGAAGCTTTGAATAACTATAAGAAAACTGTCTTCTATACACTGAGGGCAGCTTAATATGGGAACTTCACAAGAGGGCAAGATAACATGCCAAAGAGCAGTGCAAGGTGAAGCTAGACAAAATCCCAGCATGGAGAGGGGAGGTGGACATGAAGTCCCACCCCTAGTCAAGTGGCTATAGGTAATTGATAACTGTTGGCAAAGGAGTGTCAGTTATAGCAGTGTTGTTGCTAGTAAGTTGTCCATACACTAGCAGAAGTCCACACATGCAAGAATATATGGACATTCTGCCCATGGGAGAAAACTGCAGGACACTGGGTAAAGGTCATGTGCTCATTGTCTTAATCTGAAATTGATACCAGTGCCCACTTAATCTGGTTAGCAACTTTTACATCTACAACACTCTTGAACCAAACTACTAATTTCCCCAAGGGTAAAAGTCAAACCAAGTCTATTCCATCACAGGTAATAATTTTATAAAATAATTTTGCTCTTTAAAATTAGATCAATCTGCTTGCTTGTTTCTTTTTTTACACCCCATATCCTTCTTTCCAGGAGGAACTGAACTAGAACGAGCAGTTCATTGTCCCTGGCAAGGACTAAAATCGGCTCTCCTTTCCACTTGTAGCAGATGTCAGGTACAGTTCCCATGCTGCTCCTAAAATCTTATGATGTTGCAAAGTTTAAGAATCAGAGAGGAGATGATGATGTTAAGACTACTGAGTCATGAGGAAACTGAGCAAAAATATGGACCCAAGATTTTTTGGTTCCTAAGTTCCCACAATAGAGAAGTAGAATCATTTACTCACTAGTTTTAGAGTCTGGTTCACTGGACAAAGTGCAATTCCTTGATGAGTTTACTAGGGAAGGGGACAGGAGAATGAGAAAGCAATCAAGAGGCTGTCTGTCTTTTACTTATGGACAGTCCTGAAAATTTGAACAGTAACCAGCACCCACTCCATCTCTTAGGGATGAGCCATTAGAATTATAGGATGCCATTATACAATTTGCTTTGAGGTGTTTACTCTCTTTTTGGGTTGAAGTTGTGATGAGTCAATAGGAATACTGCGGAAAGACCTATGCGAGGAAGAGATCAGCAGAGCTGCTCCATCTCTGACCTGTCCAAACTGATTTCAACCTTATCTCTGATGAGTCTGTCCTGACCTTTCTCTTATTCTCCCTGGGTACATACATATCCCAGAATGCTGTCAAAGCAGGAAAAGATTGTTTGGGTGGCTCTTTGCATATTATTTTGTAATCTGATGTCCATTTTCAAAATCCACGTCTTTTAAAAAAAATATTAAATGAGATATAATTATCTGTCTTTCTTTTTCCCTTGTCTGTCTTCAGCCCTTCCCAGGAAACCTTACTCCAAGCTTTTCCTCACATTCCTTTAAGTGATAAAAGTGATAATCTTTTTCTTTGTATAACACAGAACACATGTATTATGCACATGTCTGTTATACGTGTGTGTGTGTGTGTGTGTATCTTATTACAAAATTACTGTTAGCAACACTTTCTTTTAGCTGCATAAGATACCTTTTCTCAATTAGTAGGATGGTTCTCAGACATGGCTTTAGGATTTCATTAGTCACAAGACATGAGATTCTCTTACCCGTGACAGCAATGTACAAGGGGTCACTTGGGGATGACCACACATGGGGGAAATTCCTGAAAGAGCCATAGCATCTATACGTCCCTTTCTTGATCACAGGATCAAGAAGGAAGATGGCCTTGGATATCCCATTGTGGCTCTGGACTGCAGGAAGCCCATGTCCCTGAGGTACCCCTTCCCTGGACAAATGGAACATTTCAAACTGATGGTCAGAGGTGCAGGACAAAGTCATGTTCTATTTTGACATCATCACAGGACACATCAAGGCTGACAGAGAAGGTTTCTTGTATAAACCTGGAAGAAAAGAGACAGAGGGGCAGTTTTTGTTTTTTTAGCAGCATTTAGGGCTTATTTATTCTTCAGTGTTCGCTCTCCTTCTATGTCTGTGTTATCTCTCTATCTCTTTCCCTGTATGTCTCCATTTCTCCCTGCCTCTCTTTCTTTCTTTTGCTCTCTCTTCCTCTTTTCTTCTACATTATCATAATGAATCTCATCACAGCACACAAACATTTACCACCAATTTTTGTTTTGGACAGTTTATGTGTCTAGCCACATTGGTTCATTCTTTTCGTTTTGTAAAGTATGCTTTTTTTTTTTCCGAGACAGGGTTTCTCTGTAGCTTTGGTGAAAGTATGTTTTTATTAACATATATTAAGAATATATCTCAAATTAGTTATTAAATATTCATACATATATAATGTATTTTCATAGGTTTTTAAAAAATTTTTTAATTAAATTCCGAAATTAAATAGTTACACTATTTTACATCCTTTTTAATTGTTCTTACACAAATCTTTATATTTATATGTTTATTTTTATTTTCTTTCAAATACCACTAATCCTATTACTTTTTGTTGTTGGTCTTCATTTTGCTTTCTTTTATTCCAGATGTTTTTTAAATTAATGGGTATATTTAGAGTTAATTATTTTGCTTTAAATAGCAGACAAAGTAATGGACTTCATTTTCACATTCTCATACATTTGCTTTGTTCGTTTTCTCCCCACTCCCCTCCCCTATACCAACTTTTTGGTCCTTTTCCTCCCCATTTACTCTATCATAGCATATGTATTTTACATCTTTCCACATCCCTCTTTTAATCTCCTTCCCTTCTCATGGTCCATTTCCAATTTAGTGACCTTTAACTCTCCCATTCTATGTATTTTAAAAACTTAGACTCTAACTTCATTCTAAGTTATCTATTTTCTATCTTATCTCTTTTTACATATATGTGTTAATGAATCTCTTTACAATCCACAGAATATTCCAGGAATGCATTTGCTTTGAACAGGAGCCATGATGATCTTCCCTCCCTTGTGCCTATAGTATGTGTACAGTTCATGTGCTATCTTTCATCTGCTTCCTTATCTTTGTTTTGAAATATCTAATATCTGACTTTATTTATCCATCTCTACTTTCAAATTTCTATGCAGGCTTAAGTTTTTTTTGTAGGTTTGCACCACTTACACATGCTATGTTTACTATTTCCTCAGCAGTCTTTAGCTCTATCTCTGAGTCTTCCTCTCCGTTTCCCTTTTATGACTCACTCTGTGAAAATATAAATATATATTTTCTGCTTTATGTGAATCAGGTTAGCAGTACGGGCATCCTGTAGTATTTTTAGTCATCCAAGAATGTTTGAATAACTTTACAACATGAACTAAAAACAGTTTAGAGATGTTATTGACACAGAGAGATTGCTGATTTACTCAGTTATCCAGGGTTAAGCTTGGAGCATGGTTAATAAAAACCCAGAGACAGATATTGGGGTTCAGTTTGAAGTTCAGAGAAGAACAGTCAGTTATTGGCTCTTACCTCTTCCTCAGCCCAAAAATGACAATCCTGCCTCCAACAATCCTCAGAATGAGACTGTGAGTGAGAGCTGTCTCCTCCCATCTTATATCCTTCTCTAGTGCTGGGATTAATGGCATGCACCATTACCAACCTGTTTCTATGGCAAACTAATGTGACTACTGGGATTAAAGATGTGTGTCACCACTGCCTTGTCTGTAAGGCTGACTAGTGCTGCTGTTTTACTCTCTGATCTTCAAGCAAGATTTATTTATTAAAATACAAATGAGGGAGACTGGCGCGCAGACGCACGCAGCGGGCAGAGACCGGCTAGCAGACGAGGTCCACGGGGCAAACGGTGAGCCTAGTCGGGTCCCTGAAGACCACCCTGTGTGGGGAGAGTGTTCTTGGCCCGCGGCTGGACACAGGAAACGGAGCGGGGGCATTCCCCGACCACCTTGACCCCCCGGTTAGCCTGAGAGGGCTGCTACCCTCTGCTGGGGCTGCTCCTCCTCTGCTGAGACCTCTCTCTCCCTGGCATATCCCAGATTACGCCCAGGGTCCTCCTTCACTCCCCCTCCCTTCCGCTGGGCGCGGGATCACCAAGTTTATCCTGTTTGGGCGCTGGATAGGGAGCTCAGGGCAGAGGGCAGTGGGAGTTTCTCTGTTTTGGTGGCTGGCCTGCAGAGGGGTAGGCCTTTTGTTGGCGAGGTCCCTGGCAAACCGGGAGCCTGGCCCTGGTCCTGAAGACCCTTCTGAGTAGTGAAAGAGATCTTGGCCGGCGGTGGGACCCAAGAAACGGAGAGAAGGCATTTTGTAAGCGGGGCCCCTGGCCAGCAGGAAAACCCATTCCTGTTTTAAAAGACACAGTAGATAGCATCGATAGGAAGAGATGGGCAGGCACCAAGGCAAGAATTCATCCAACAATCTGAAAAACAACACGAAAACACCAGAACCCAATGATCTTACAACAGAAGGACTTGAACACCCTAACACAGAAGAAGTGGAAAAAATTGACTTTATGAAAGCAATAGAGTCCCTTAAACAACATGTAAAAAACACCCTTATAGAAATGGATGAGAAGTATAACAAAAAGTTTGAAGAATTGAGTAAATATGTACA